AATAAAAGATTGAATTGAATTCTATGACCACTGTGTTCTTTTCTAATGTTTTGAAGATGTTTCCTCTGTAGAGTATTTTGTACTTGTGTGTGTGTGTGTTGAAGTTACTGAACTCTGTTTATGTCTATATTAGCTACATTTTATGAGAACAGAAGTAGGAGAGATAATGTGATATAATGGTAATGTACTAGACTAACCTTAGGCTAATCCCTGTTTGTCAGCATAGCATACCTCAGAGGAATAAGTTATGAAATAAAAATGGATCAGAACGCTGTTGTATCATTTTGAGCTTCTTTAGAACTAAAAATAATAAATAAGACTTGAATCTGAAAACAGAGATTAAGAAAAGCAGTGGTATTTAACAGAAGATAAGAGCTGCTATCTGTAGAAAATGGAACAGTGACCCTGAGACTGAATGGAGACAAGAGGACAAGAAAAGATCCCCTCCAGTTCTGCTGCTTCTGAAGGAGAGGAAAGCTTGACTTATGCAAAAAGAAAAAAGATAAGAAAAAAAGAAAGAAAAGAAATACCAGCAACTTCCTTTGAATTTTAGATGAAGCCCAGAAGACTTGTTTTGTATCTGGACAAGCTGACACAAGCATGACCTTTTCTAGCTACTTGATTATATCAAGCTTTGTAAAAAAGCGGTTAACAAATCAGAACCATGAGTAGATGAGATCTAAAGTACAGTGTGAAAATCCATCTTTGTCAGTAACTTTATATACATTAAAAGTTTTACTGAAAATGGAAGCCACTTAGAGTGACAGAAAAACAAAAGAAACTAACACCAGTTTCTGTCCGAGTGTACAGTTTAGGGGCCCAGGGCTTCATGTAACCCTCAGGCCCTCTGAAAGTTTACTAAATTGTCAAATGGAAATATTATTAAATGATCATATTGCATGTACAGCACATTATTTTTACATTTTAAGTAAATCAAGTCATTTATAAGCATTTGCCTTAATTGACAAACTATTTTGTATTAGCTCTATTTTGGAGAGTGCAACTCCTAAGCAGTCCACTTAAAGACCAGAAATGTCTTCTGTACTTGGACTCTGACAGCAAGCAATACATTGTCACTGAAATTACTCTTGCTTTCCGATGTTTTGTTAGTGCTGATGGTACAGTGATTGTAGCCTTGGACATGACCATAGGGATTCTTTAAGTACATTTCTTAATTCACTTCAAAATATGATGTTAACTTTTCTGTCATTGGAAACCTGTCCCCCCCACCCTATTGAGTACGGCCATTGATTTCTTCCCTAAAGTTTTATTCATATAATAGTAGCACCATAGTGAATGCTCCTAAATAAGATGTTAATATCTGCCATTGAGTCACAGCTCAATGAGTGAGTAAATAAATGGACCAACTTTAATTCCTAGCACCTCTATTTAATACAATAGAAGGGAAACCTGTGGATCTGCATATGTCGCTCACTTGCATTAGTCACAGAGAACAGGGCATATATGGTCTGGGATGCCAGGAGATATAGTGTAAAAACATTTTGAAGATCATTCATTCCCCACTGCTGAGACAGACAACACTGGGTAAGACACGGAAGTATATGAAAAATCTCAATTCATGATAAGGTTAGGGTTAGGGTTAGGGGTGATGGGCCCCAGGTAAGATACTATCTGGGAATTAAGATATTTTCACTTGTCCAGTTCCAATGTTTTTTTCCTTAAAATAAAAATGTAAAAAAGTAGTATACTGCCTTTGCTCTTGCTTGGTAAGGGTGAAATGTACATACTGGCAAGTGTAAATGGGGACCTCTAGGGAAGTGCAACACTGTTTTGTTGCCTAGTGATCTGGCCTTGGTAATGCCACTGATGCCTAATTCCATTTGAGCCTGACCTTTCCCGAGATATTGGTACTACCCTGAAAAGGGAATATAGAGTGAGTGAGAAAAAAAACAGATGAACATTAGTTCTAAGTCCTGAGAAAAAGTAAACTTTATTTAGGCTGAGGTAGTTTTGGTTCCAAATATAAAGCATGGGGAGGAAACACTGTCTCTAGTTTAATCTTAAAATTCTAGATTATTGCATTAGAATCTAAATAATACTAATTAAATATAGCAATGAAATAATTCAATTTTTTTCAGTCTTGTTTCAAACCACCCCTCCCCCCAATTTATTACTTCTTTACTGATTTTTAGTATTTTGAACCAGCATGGAAAGCAAAATATGGAGGAAGAGTGTTGAAAGTTAATATTTGTAGGACTGGGGGGGGGGGGGAAATCCCAATATCTCTGCTCCATTTCCAGCCACATTCATAGGAAAAGAGGGATAGGTTTATAGGGTAAATACAATAAATAGAGGAGAAATTGTTAGTATACATAAATAGATGTCAACCCAAATTCATCCTGAAAAATGTGTGTCTGAACATGAACTAGATAGCTACTGCCTCCCTGGAGAAATCCTTCCTTCGCTTTACACATGCATCCCTCTAACCCTTGATCTGTTTGTGCAGCAGGTGATTACGTTTGTTTCACAGGCTGATAGATTGTAAAGCATCTTTACAAGTCAAAATATGTTCTCCAAGGAGGGTATATCCTTCATCCTTTTGGCCATCAATTAAAAACACTCCCACCTTCTCACATGCATGGATACACTAGAGCAGTGGTGGCGAACCTATGGCACGGGTGCCAGAGGCGGCACTCAGAGCCCTCTCTGTGGGCACGTGCACCGTCACCCCAGTCCTAGGCCTTCAGCTGGGTTTTATAAAACCTTTTCACTGCAAAAAAAAAAAAAAAAAAAAGGTTCAATCAGTCAATTTCAACTTCTCCCAGAAAAAAAAAGATCTTGCAAAGTTGGAATTGATTGATTGAACTTTTTAGTCCCACCCAGTCTGCCGTTACCACTGCAGCCACGCCCACCCAATGGGACACACCCACCCAATGGGCCACGCCCACCCAGCACTCGAGGATGCATAGTGGGTTTTGGGTTGCAGTTTGGGCACTCAGTCTCTAAAAGGTTCGCCATCACTGCACTAGAGATAAGGATGTAGTCTTAGACACACACTCTCAAATAGTTTGATTCTGTTAAACTCAGTGAGGCTTTCTTCAGAGCTGACATGTTTAATGGTGCAATGCTCCAATCCTCTGAATAAGGGTCATTGAAGGAAATGGGATTAGTTTAAATATACAGAGATTTGGACTGAATATCTGGAAAGAGAAGGAAAGATATTTTGGGATTCTATCCCCTTTGAAATTCTTTGCATATCAAAGGAATCTACTGGAGTCTCCTTTCAGATTGAAATGGATTCACTGAGTTATTTTAATTCAATTCCTTAGGTGTTCTTTTTTTTTTTTTTTAGTAAAGTAAATGAGGCCCAAAGGAAGTAATAATAAGAATATTTAGAAATTGGGGGTTCCATCTTATTTTATTTGCCTGCTGATGGATTTAAGCAGACTTCAATCTTTGGGTTCCAAAATCTGAGACCTAAAACATATCTTCTCCAAGATGGTTAATTTCTGTAGAACCTCTTTCCCCAACCTAGTACTTTCTACATGTGTTGACATATTAAGTCCCAGAAGTCCCAGGCATTATGGCTCATGGGCTAACTGGGAATCAGCATCAGTGAACTCACTAAGGCTTGTCTCTACTCAGTGCGTAGGACTGGGGTGCACACCTGCAGATTTAAGGTTTTCTTTTCCCTCCTCCCTTCCTTCCAGCATTATATCCTCAGACTCCTTGGAAGGAAGCTTTTCTGTGGCTGGTTCAGAAATCTGTGAGTTTTATAGGTTTGCATATTTCTAAATTAATCTGAATTAACAGTTGCCTTTTCCTTTGTTTTATCTTAAAACCCACTTAAGACTAACCAAAACACTAGTGTACAAATAGGACATTTAGACATATTCCCACAATCCTACTCTTGATGCAATGATGGTTGTGAATTTAGAACTTTGGTCATGGCTTCAAAGGCAAATCAAAAACAACACATACTTTTTCACTTCCCTTTAGTGGATTTTTCATTCCCACAGCCAGTATGGACTGGCTAATACATAAAAGCAATTTCATCCAAAAATTAATGTGGATGAGCAATGTTCAAGATGCAGAGATATCATCTTCCAATGCAAAAATTGAAGGTGGGTGGAAGGAAAATTATTTCTCCAAGGCCTCAAGCTTCTCTTCCTATACATCTCTATTTTAAAAAAAAATACTGTAGCTATGAGACTCTATTAAGAAAGGATATAAAGTAAACAGCAAAGCAGACAGTCAAAAAAAAATCTTACCTCTATAATTAAAGTCTCTTGGCTCTTTATGAAGAAAATGTTATTTCCAACCACCCCACCCCCAATTTCCTACAACGAAAGTGTATCTCCTAATTTTCAGGGAGGTAGATGGAGGAAGGAAAAGAGTTGTTCCTGAGGTGATAAGTGTAGTAAACTAGCCTTTAAGATACAGACTGTTCCGGCTTCTTATGAGAATGAGAAATAAAAAGAGGGTATAGTAAGGCATAGAAGAGAGAAAGGTTAAAAGCTCGGTACAGAGGTCCCTCTTCTACCTCATGCTTTAAAAAAGGAAATTGGGAAGAAAGGAAAATAAGGATTTGTCTTGCTGGTATTCTAGTGATGTGGAGATTACACTCACATTCGTGCTACTCCGAAGCTTGAAGTAAGAAAGAAACATATAATACATGAATCTGACAGCGAAGGCGTAGAAACGCAAGCTTAGGACGAGAACTTAAAAATCTACATTTATGAGTAATCCTGATGGAAATCCTTTGCATAATTGTAATTAACTATTGAGTACCCAGAAAAAAAATTGTGCAAAAGTTCCTGTATCTCTATATTTGAAAATACGCGTTTCTTTTTCGTAAGAGGGGCGCGTGTGCATAGGTATCATATGTGCGTTGTGTTCTTGGTTTTTTCGGGTGGGTTTGTCTTTTGTGCCCATAAGCTTAGGACCGTTTATTCACTTTACAAACCGAGCAGCTTCCTCTCTGAAAGGGGAGGTTACTTAGGTGGGCAGGACTCGACCTAACTAACCCTCCTTCCCCTTCAAGAGGACACCGAGCTGGGAGAAGCTTCGGGGGTGGAGGACCCGCTGGATCTGTCAGACGCAGCTTCGCTGCTTTCCTTGGTAGAGTCGCGGAAAGCCGCGGCGGCGGTGGGATGGGGACCAGCCAATCCTTCTTTTTCCCTCTTCTTCTGTTTCATCCTCCGATTCTGGAACCAGATTTTTACCTGAGTCTCGTTCAACTCCAAAGTAGCAGCGATCTCCACCCGCCTGGCTCGAGTGAGATACTTGCTGAAGTGAAACTCTTTCTCCAACTCTGTTAGTTGCTTGGTGGTGAAATTGGTCCGGATCGTGCTGGCATTGACGGCTAATCCATAGTCAGTCACTTTCGCTGCTGGGACGAGCCAGAAACGGAGAAAGAAACAATCAAACCATTGGTTAGAATTACTTCCAAAATAAACCAGCAATCAGCAACATCCTCTCTGATATAAACCTAGTTAGAAGCAGTTGTGTGCCTTTCAGGAGCTCAGATAGATGTTTAGTGGCACCCTTTACTGTACTTTGCCTTAGCTGTTCCTGGCCAGTATCCTTTATATTGTACGGCATACTTTCAAGCTGGAAGTTGTGATATAACACACCTTGGAGGGCATCAACTTGAAAAGCTTCCTCTACATATTCCGGGCATACTTTGAGCCTTTCAGGAATGGGGGCTTAACTTTCTCGTGGCAATCCATTCACTCCCCATTAAGATTTCCCTCTTCCTAATTCTAGATTTAGGAAATACTGTGCTCTGATCTTTATGTTACAGATTGTGTTCTGATCTTTATATTTATAAAACAATTTCTGCAAGGTTTCGGCACAAAAAGTTATTTGTATTCTAGATTAGTCAGTCCTCTGTCAGGCTGATTTGGAACAAGTAGGGAAATAACCTGGTCCAGGAAAAGATTGGAAAACAAAGTTTTAAAAATCTTAGATCAAGCTCATAAAACCTTCATTCTCTTCACCCCAAAACACAAAATTCTTTTTACCCTCTGAGAAAAGACACTTTGAAATGTTTAGACTTGAAAGAAACTTCAGCCTCTGTTTAAAAGTTTTTCTCCCAAATCCTGATCTGACAATATCCCATATGTTTCATGCTGAGGCAACAGTATGTTGTGTCTATACAAAGACATTTCCCACCAGCCTTATTATATACTAAAAATATTGAAATGGAAAGTCAGATTTACTGGTAGTTGATGGTTCAACATCTTATCTATGATTGGATTTCTACATAGCAATAAGCCACGTAACAAGTCTCTGGAAACCCACAGTTCATATGAGTCACTACAATATCAATACAAAATAAATTGCACTTTGACTTATGTGTGAACTCACCTTTTCTGTCAGGGCTACCTCACTCAAACTGTTTCAACATATTCTGTACAGACCAGGCTCTTTTTTAACTTCAATCCCAGTTTCTGAATTGAGGGACATTAGTTCTGTTCCTTATTTGTCTCCCCTGGATCTGATCGAAGTTGGGTAAGATGAAAAATAATAATCTGAACCAACTCTAGGCAGGACCAAAGTCCAAAATAAACCCAATTCATTTCAAAGAGGAGGCAATTGCTGATTAGGATTCAAAGAGCATCACAAATGAAGAAGGCAATTGCATAAAAATTAATCTCAACCAACTCCTATTAGAGGATCCTATTCAAGAATAAGCACGTAGTAAAATCCTGACTGGTTGATCTTCCTTGAACAAGCAGCTCTTCTGCATGTGTGTTCATCTGTTTCATGGGAATGCTCCTTCCTGGCTTTTAATTTCTAGGTAGTAGTGGTAGAAAGAAGGTTTCCTTTATCAGGGCTCAGTCCATCTAGGACAAGGATTTTGTTCTTGTGAATAAAAGGACAACTCTCATTTTCACTAGGAAATATAAGACAAACTAAATCTCACCAGATCCTTTTGGGCATCCATGGATCAAAATATGGAAGCAGAATGAAATAAGAGCAAAGTTAGAAGCTATTGTAGCTCCTATATGTTCAAAAATTCTCCATTTCCCAAACTCTAAATCAAGATTAGACAACCTTCTGCCTCCAGTTTCTTTGGACTTCCACTGTTATAAGTCTCAGTCAGAATTGTCAGAAAAGTTGAGAATTCTACAAAGCACCTATCATTTGCTTGCAGTTGCTCTAGTCTACCTGGCTTTTTTAATTGATTCAACAGCTTTGGAAAATATTATTGTTTTTCTGCCTTACCTATCATATTACAAAATAAATAGTACAATTGCACTAATTGTCCCATCACAGCACCATAGTTTCGGGAACTCTCACCTTTTTTTTTTTTTTTTTTTTTTGCTAAGTTACTGTTTACATGTACTTCAATTTTTTCTTTCTGCAGTTTGAGCCAATTACTTCGGAACCTATCCATAGCACAGTCACCAAATGAGTCTGGCCTTCTTTTTGTCATTTAGCAATTCTGGAAACAGAGAAGTCTTTCCCATCTCAACTATCCTCAAACTGGCCTTACTGCCTTCTTTCCTTTCTTTCTACCACCCCTCCTCCCTCCTTCTTATGATTTGCCTTCTCAGACCAAGGTTAATGATGGAGTGACATTCCTGATTTCCAGGAGCAGATTTTCTCTTTTCAACAGTAGCCATCTCAGAAGATGTCTCTGGAATCTCTAGTGTGAGGTAGTTGAGGGAATTCTGAGCCAATGCAGAAGCCTCATTCCCACTTGCTTCCTTTGTCCCCCTCCTCCCATTCCACTTTTTGATTGGGTTTCTGGTGAGGCAGCAATATGAGCATAACTAATCTCTCTGGGCGTCCAGGTGTATTAGAAATTTACCTGTTCTGGGAGGATTTCTTTTCACTTTCATCCAGTCGAAGGTCTGGCTGATGGTAGCAGTGGCAGCAGCAGCAACAGCAGCAGCAGCGGTGGGACATGGATGGGCCCGGCAAGCCCTCGGCTCTTTGTTCTCAGATAGAGGTGGGGAAAGATTGCCCAAAGCCCCTTGCAAGTAACCCCCCTGATCAGAGCCATATTGGTGTGGTTGGAATTGGCCCTGGGTAGCTGCACAAAATGCATCAGGTATACTTCCCGCTAGATGGGAAGAGGAATGGGAGGAAGTTGCAGCCAAGCTGGCAGGGTAGGCCGAGGTCTGAAAATAGGCTCCATCCGTCTCTGGGGAACTATGATAGAACTGAGGGTTGGTGAAGCTGGGGTTGCAACCTGAGTTTGTGTATCCCCCTCCCCCTCCTTGGTGAGAGGGGCTGGTGAAGGAGATGCCAAGGCCAGCTGGGCTGTGAGGAAGAGGAGGAGGGTAGCTGGGGCTCTGTTGGTGGTGGGCATTGGGCCCAGTAGCACCCACCCCTATCACCCCAAAGCACCCATCTGAGTGATAGCTGTCACAGGCTGGAGTGGTACCTGAGCAAGCTGGGTAGGAAATGGTCCCTTGGTCGAGGTGCTGGTACTCCTTGGGCGGGTAGGCGCTCATCCCACGGTTACAAATTGCATAGTCTAAAAAGAAGTTCATTCTAGGTATTGTTCCTTTGCCAATGATGGAAGAGGGTTGCCCTGTTTTATGGGGATTCCTTCTGCCCTACAACCTTTAGATAGTATGTCAAAGTTAACCAGGGGGAAAAAGGGGAGAGAGAGAGGGAGAGATGAAGAGAACCACCCTTCCCATCTATGGATCTCCAGGCTTAAGGGCCCCCCTCCTTCCCGAAGCTTTCCGAATGGGGGATGGGAGAAGGTGGTGGTGGGGTGGAAGGGGATCTAAACCACGTGGTTCCCTTCAAGCCCAATGAGCAAATGCCTCCCAAACTTTGTCAGATATCTGCCATCATCCATCAAGTCCCTGGCATTTGCATGACAAAGAGACTTCAATCAAACTTTTCCCCATCGATCTGATTAACAACATGGATACGTCAAAAGGTTTTTCCCTCAAAGACTTCGGAAGAGGGGTGGAAAAAGGAAGTGATAGAAAAGAGGTTGGGGGAGGAAGAAAAGAAGTGGAAAGTTAAAACTATTCAAAGTCTATTCTATGTGTTAGAAAAGACAGTGACAAAAATCATCAGAACTTTTCTCCTACACTGAAACAAAAAGTTCTTTCAACCCATTTCTGCTATAAGGGGCTCACCTAACAGAGAAAGAAATGTATGTGTGTATGTGTGTGTGAAAGAGAGTAAGAGGTATTGCAGACTTCTTTATGATAGAAAATGTTCCTTTTCCTCATTAAAATATAATCACTGAAGAGATACTTAAACATTTATGGGGTTTGCTTAAAATGTCTTTTGCCTTCTCTTAAAAAAAAAAAATCCAAATAGCTTTGCTTTGCATATCGCCTTTGTGTCTAGAAGCAGAGTTCTTAAGAGCAATTTAATTCAATCAACATTCTAATGAGTTGTGAAATAAAGTTAGAAACACAATTGTGTTTTGTTGAAAGGGGAAGGGAGGGAAAGGCAAATGAAATTGAAATTCACTACCCTATCCATCTATTAGTTATTTATTTGATCTGACTAGCCATCCATTTTCCATCTCTACTCCCTGATATCATTTGCAATCCCCTTCTATTTTTTTATTCAATAAAAAGCTTGTAGTTTCTGGACTTTGATTTGTATATTGTGGGGAGGGGGGAATTTTAATTGTTGCAAATCATTCTTCACACTTAAATAAAGACAACTCCCAAAGGCCACTTTCTGAGCCACCATTTCTTAATCCTGATTTGCATAGGAGGAAGAGCAAAGAGTCCCTTTGTTTTTTATGGCAAGTAAATAAAATAGGTGTTTTGAAAAAGGTGCTTATTGCTTTAGGAAGCAAAGGAAAACGAGCTGTTTTCGTTAAACGAGCTGTTTTCGTTTTCGTTGAGCAGGCAGAAACTTCACCTTTTCATTTACCTTCCGGAGAAATGTTGGCCAGAGCCAAATCCTCAGAATTGCAAAGCTGGCTCTTAAATGAACTTTTGGCCTATTTCAACCTCTGGTGCTTTCCCCCTGGGCTGTACAGCCAGTAAATATCCTGACAAGTAACAAATGACTGTAGGCGTCAGCCTGCAAGTTACTCTTGTCCTCCATGTGCTAACAAGTAAATAAATGTTTCTGCCTTGGCTTTCCATTATATTCAACATCCCAGAGTGGTTGAGCTTCTTCCTCTTTGTCAATACACATGGCCGAAGGAGGAGATTCTCTTGGAAAAGAAAGTCCGTAATTACCCATTTATGAACTCTAGAAATGAAGGACGGAGGGACGCTCATGTCTCAAGCAGAACCGAGAAGAGAAACAGAAAGAACAGGAGACTGGGTGGCAAAAAGGCAAAGGAGTCCTCTGGAAAGCTATAGAAATGGAGAACCAATATCATATATGTGATTGGAGGGAGCATCAGGACTCCCATTTATTTTTGTAGTTTCTTTCAGAAGTGAAGGACAAGGAGACCAACCTCTCTGAGAGATTTATCTTCATATAATATACTGTAGACAGAAGGCCTTCCCTGCATCTGCAAGTTGCCACTGAGGCTATCCTAAGGATGTCTGTACAAAATGAAATAAATGAATAAATAAATTCGAGAGAAAATCAAGAAAGACATGCCAAATGAGAAAAAAATAAAATTAAAAGTGGGGAAGGATTCATGTCTTTTATATTTTTTTAAAAAATGCATTTTATGAGGAAAATATTTGCACTAGAAAACATTTATAAGAAATTTCTTTTGGGTCATTCCCTCATTAACAAGAATTAACTTCAGACTTTGCAGTCTTTAAATCCTGACCAAACTAAGTTTCCTGCACTACAAATCACAGGCTTTTGGTCGGAAAAATTGTTTCCCTGTTTCCATTTCGGGTCAGAGAAACTGTCTCCCTGTTTCCTTCCTCAATATTTCCTAACCAAGAATTACTAAAAACTTCAGGTGCAAAGTGGCCCTTTAATGCCCTTGTGCCTCAAGCCTGTGAAAACCTTGGGAAGCTTGTGCTTCCAAACCTGTGGAGGCCATTGATGAGAGCCCTGTCCAGCACAAGAATTAGGGCAGTAACATCATCTGAATGCTACCAGGGGAGTTCTCATGAGCAGGTCCTCAGAGGGAAAGCTTACTACCAGGGATGACGACCTTGTCATTGGCAGAATGGAAGTGTCCAGAGAGAATTCTTTTCTTTTCCCCCCTCCCTCTCCTTCTCCCTCTCCAGTCATTTTGCAATATAAAACTAACGCCAGGTATCAACTTATCTTTTCCACCCCACCCTACACACCAGTATTTCCTTTAGGAGGTTGGCCTGTTAAAAAAAGATAGCAAATTGCTGTCGTGAAGAAGAACTCATAAATAGTTTTTTTCCGGCTTAAAGCCCAAATAAAAATGAGGATCATTTATTAAATCCAGTCAATGCTTCCAAAGTTGAATGGGTGGTGGGTAAGGAAGATTTTGAAGAGTTATTTGAGTAAGGCTTTAGGAAACTCCAGGGGAAAAAAAATCAAAGAGTTATTTTGAGTCCTGTTCCAGTTGGGGGAAGGCGGTTCTTTAAAGGCTGGGAGAAGCAAGCCCGGAAGGCTAACCATTATGTAAGGAAATTCTACCGGGGCTCTGGGTTCCATATTAAACCGTAGCGAGAAAAGCGAGATAAGAATTGGAGTTGGGAGGGGAATACAAGAGAGAGGACATAAATGGACAGCGCTTAGCTTTATTCAACATCCTGAGTGCCGTTTCCTGGTATAAAGAAAGTCTTAATTTTGACTCAACAGGAAAATGCCTCAGTTTTGCAGCGAATAGAAGGTCCAGCAGCACCGTCCCCAGCCGACGAACAAACTCTTCCTCGATTTGCAGATTTTCCATTTGTTGGTTTCCTTTTCCTAAATCCTTCAATCTTCTCCACCAAAGGTTTGTCATCTGGCAAGGGATACCGGCAGTTTGGCATAGCTTAAAGAGAGGAAGGAAGGCTCTTCCTGCTGCTATCATTTGGTTCACAGAAGTACGAATATTAAAATTCATGCCACTAGTTTGCACTAGTCCGGTTTAAAGTGCTAAATATAAAGCAGGCATGGGTGCCTCGAATATGTTGTAATTACAATTCTCCTTTCGGAAATATAATCCAAGAAAGGCCATTCAGTGTCGACAGATCTTTGGATCCAGAAAGTTCTCCCCTCTCTCCCCTCCCCCCCCCCCCCCCCCCCCCCCCTCGCACCACAAGGTTTGCCTCCCTCTGCAGCTCGGTGGCCGCTCACCATCTGCTCCTGAATGGTGCTGATTTTCCCACCCTCCATCCTCACCATCCTCTTATGCTTTGCACAATATCATGTGTCCCAAGAATCTTGAGAGGAGACTGCATGCTTGCAAGCGAACAACAGAAGCCTGATTTCCGCTTTAGGAAAGATTTGTAACTGATCCTTCATCAAGAGCTTTGGACATCTTCTAAAAAGGTTTTATAACAACTTTTCAGAAAGGAAAAGTGGGTGCAAAGGTCCATTCTGAAGGCAGGCAGGAACAGGCAGTGATGAATTTTATCTGAATTCAAATACTCTTGGGAGAAGAACACCCAAATTCCTTTTCACAAAATTTTCAGATTTTTTAAATATTAAATTATAAAGGTGTTAAATTAATTTTAAAGCTACATTATGTAGTGTTAATTATTATGTGTACCTTCAAAAACCATACACTATTGGCAATGATGAATGGTAAAGCATCAAATGAAGAGAATATATGTTTAAATATTAGTATGAACATTTGAATAATTTTCTAATTATTAGCCATTTTAGAAGGTTTTGTGGAAGTTGTATGTCAAAATATCTGGACAGCCTCAAATGTTGGTATGGTATCAAATACCAGTGATGTCCTAAAGTAAAAGTTAATTTTCATCTAATTCTTATGGATATATTGCAATATATTTATTGGCTGTTTGCTCTTATTGTGACATAGACCTTATAATGATGACAGTGATCTTTTACATCAGTTTCTCCACTGGTTTTGCAGCTTATTCAAACTATGTGGAATTCAACTTTAAGTCTTCTTAGCAATAATCATGCTTGTTGGAAAATACAGAACTTGAAGCACACCTTTTTTGAGATGTTCCAGTTGGGAAAGACTACACTACTAGGAACAGCAGTAAGAACTAACTAAGAAGATAACTGAAGTAGTCCAGCCAAGGAAGATGGAGATGTTTTTGATCTCTCTCATCTTCCCTATATAAGGCAACTTACTATTTTCTCATTTGATATGTGTTGGGTACATTCTCAGTACCCCAAAGTCTGACATGACCATGCCCCAATAAGGGTTTTATCTATACACTCATTTGTCTCATGCATAGCCCATAGCTGAGGCAGCTTAAAGTAACCTTTTACAGTTCTTGTTTTAAAGGAGTACTTTTCCTATTCTTCAACACAAGTTTTATAATGGACACAATCTAGCAAGTTTCACTGATTATGTGGTTTATGAGGCAGTCGGTGGTTGGGCACTTCAGACTGCTGCTGCGTGTTCCTTCCATTTGGTTGCTGGACTGCATGGCTCTTGGGATTCAAGAAAGACTGGGCATCTGGCCTCCATAGAAACCTCTGCATG